GTTTGCTTCAGAGGAATTCCGATCCAAATTGGCATGATAAAGACAAGGGGGCGTTGTGAGACTAGAAACAAGAGGTAGAGAGTCCTAAATGTGGAAGGAGATGCATCATTTACTTGTTTCTTATTCCGTTAGATACACCTCAAATATCCTATGAAAATCAGAAAACAATGACTCTTTTTACTAAAAGTCATGTTCTGAACCAAATTGGCATGATAATGACAAGGGGGCGTTGGGAGACTAGAAACAATAGGTAGAGAGTCCTAAATGTGGAAGGAGATGCATCATTTTACTTGTTTTCTTATTCCTTTAGATACACCTCAAATCTCCAATGAAAATCGGAAAACTGGGACATTTTTTTACTAAAAGTGATATTCTGATCCAAATTTCTATGATAAAGACAAGGGGGTGTTGTGAGATTAGAAACAAGAGGTAGAGAGTCCTAAATGAGGAAGGAGATGCATCATTTACTTGTTTTCTTATTCCTTTAGATACACCTCAAATCTCCTAAGAAAATCAGAAAACTGGAACTCTTTTTACTAAAAGTCATGTTCTAAACAAAATTGGCATGATAATGACAAGGGGGCATTGTTGTTAATCAAGAGAGATCATTATCATCTAAGCATCAGCTGATCTTCTCATGTATGACCGTACACATCCGTACATATCCGTACAAGGTCATCATTTGGGTTGCTTCTTCATCAAGTTATCTAGGGGAGCCTTCTTCTCTTATGTTCATTCTCTTCTTAACGTTTAAAGATAAGAGAGGAAGGAGCCAGGCTGGATATGATCTCCTTGTGACCGTTGGAGAGAAGGAGAAAAGTAGCTTTACCTTTTACTTTTGCTTTTTCCTCTTTTGGACTATAGCTTACGAATCTAGAGAATATTCTTGTTGCTCTTTTACTTTATATAGCTGTATACTCTCTGTAATTGTTTTTCTAAGAATGAGAAGATATCTCTTTCTCACCATTCTCTCTCTCTATTCTCTCTTCATCGTGTTCTTCAATAATCTCTCATACAATCTCTCTAATCTCTAATCTCTATATCCGCTGCTAATCTCTAT